AGCAGGTAGATGGACAGCCAGAGATTGTGAGCATTCTTGACAAGCAAGAGACTGTAATCAAAAGAAGGAAGGCTGAGATGCGAAAGCAGAGCGATATCACGTGTTTCTTTAGTTAGACTGGATAGTCCTATAACCTGGTTAGCAACATAGAATGAACTCAGGAATAAGTTATGTTCTTATCCAGGTTTGACTGTATCGTCCAGCTGCTACCTTTGCGTGCTGCTGCTGATGCTGCCCAGACCCGCTCGCCGCCAGCGGGTGCTGCCATATTGCGTCGTGCGTCACCGGGGTGCCGATAGTCAGGCCTGATGCGAATAGTACGAATAGTGCCGTTACGCCTCGACGCTGCTCCTCCTCCCAATGCTGCTGCTGCTGCTGCCGACTCGACATTGACTACTGCTGCTTTACTACAGCCGACAAACCACCACCACTCCCTCTCCCACAACCACCGCTGCCCTCCCCACCCCGCGCGGATCCCGGCTGCACTCCCGCCAGCAGACCTCCACTGCACCAGGCCAATGTCGATTTGAATTTGCATATGCAGAGGCGAAGGTGGTAGCGAGCCGGCACAGCTGCTAACCTTCTGCGCATCCCACCACTAACCACAGCCCGCACAGCGCTTCTCTCGCTGCACCAGCCCTGCTATCCTCTGCAGGCGTTTGGCGCTGACACCTCGACACGCCTGGCCGCCATTCTGCGTTGCAGTCTGAGATTGTCGTGCAGGGAAGACGTGTCTGCCAGGCCTCACCGTCGCCCGCGCGGCCATTTCCTCGACGCACCACGCTCCCCGCCTGCCCAACGGATGACTTGCCTCTCCAATCCATCGGCAATCCGAGCACAGCAAGCACAGCATCTGTGGGGCCCTCTTCCCCTCTGCGCTCCCTCTCTCACTCTCCGCCACGACCACCTGGAAGTCTATCACCGGCTCTCTCCCAGCGCCTGCGTCCTCCAACTGAGACCTGCAGTCTATTCCAATTACAGGCGTGGTCCCCGGTCTCACTCCAGTTGACGACATCCACATCCGCCACGTCGATCCACTCAACTGCCAACCCGCCGGGGAGACGGGTATATCTTTCTGGGTGCGCTTGCTCGACGGCCCGGTACTCGAGCCCTCCATCGTCGTGTCACTTTGGGTTCAGCAACGGTCGACGATCCGAGACGGAGCTGGCAGCGACGGTCATCAATCTTGGATGACAGGGCCCGTCCTTGCGATCAGACTCCCCCATCTCCACTGCGGCCATAACCCGTCGAGAACGCACGGGACAGGGACAGCAGAGCCGCAAATTGACCCAGGGCCAAGCACGAAACTGGGGCAGGTGCCTGTGCGCGGCCACTTTGTAGCGCCTTCCAAAGGGCGGACGTGACAACGATATCAATACCGAGCGCAACCTCCAACTGCTCGACCTCCATGTCGTGTGGAACGGATCCAAGGCCCTCCTACCTCTATCGATTCATCGCCCGCGTTGCACAGTCACCGCGGTCACGCTCTCATCATCACCAGCGCCCATCCGCCAGATGCGAGCGACCTGATTACCTCTATCGATATCCCACCTCACCTGTGGATCGCATTGTTCGGTCGTGGTGACGAACGACTCGAGCTTGTCCTTACCTTTCCGCGCTGCGACGCTCTACCCCACGCTCACCACCACATTACCTGCCCTCCCGTTGGTGGTTGACAACTTCAACGACGATCCGCTGGGGCCGGCCATTTCATCGTTGACAGAGGTTGCATTCACCCTCCTCGCACCTTGGAAGTCTCACAAAACCTCAGCGCTTCCCAAGGTAGAACCACGGCCCTTGTCCCTTCCAGTCCCAGAAAGCCACTGCAAACACAAACTTCCCTCACAAGTCAACGCGCTTCCAGAAGTATGATGGCCCGCAGTGGGATACAACTCATTGTTCGCCAACAGCCTACGAGGGCGCAGGTCGTTCAAGAGAACAACCCCAAGAATCGCAAGCCCATCGATCCTCCTCCCATCATCGAGCTCAAGTACGACGACCGAAATGACCCCCAGAACAGCCAGTGGCTTGTCAGCCCGCGCACGTTCATGATGGTCATTCTGATCCCCGAAAGAGAGGGAGGAGATCCGATGGTGGGAAAGCATTTGATCGGACAGACTGTTTCGAGCTTGCACAGATTGAAAGACATCAACAACAAGGGTGAGTCAGATGTCTGAGGCCTCGGGGAGTGGGAGGCTGGAGTTTGAAACTGCAAAAACTTCGATGGCTGGGTGCTAACACCATTTCAACAGATGGAGGCTTCTTCGTCTTTGGAGACATTTCCGCCCGCAAACTTGGTCGCTACAAGCTGAGGTTCAGTCTGTTTGATACAGAGAAGTGAGTGCATTGAATGTCAATCAACCAACGCGTCGCTGACTTGAAATAGGGAGAAGGACGTGGTCACGTTCATGGGGTCCGTCGATTCTGAGTCTTTCCCTGGTATGCTGTTCACATCTCTCGTCGAAGGCGATCTGTACTAACACGTGCAGTTCTACCACAACGCGACTTTGGCAGCATGTCCGAATCGACACACCTGACACGCACCTTTTCCGACCAGGGCGTCAAGCTACGCGTTCGCAAAGACAATCGCGCAATCCCTGGGTCAGTACAATCGATATGATGGCGATTGATTGAATGCTGACGGTGCTTTCTTTCTAGAATCGGCTCGAAACGATCATTCAACGCGTCACCACCTGAAACGACCTCCCCTGGGCTTCATTCTGGCATGTACGGAGGCGCCGTCCAGGACCATCACTACGGCGGATCAGTCCATTCACCAGCAGCGAAGCGCCATCGATCAGGGAGCGAATACGACAGTTCACACATGTATCAGCACATGCCCATGGGAGACAGTGCATATGGAAGTAGCATTCCGAGCGCGACGCGTTACAGTGAGCACTCTCGCGTTCACAGAGGCTACAACCAGCAACAATCACCCATGAGTCTGTCGATGATGGGTCGAGTTCCGGCGAGCATGGGATCATCTGTGCAGACCCCAGGCTGGCAGAACATGCACCAGACCAGCGCATTACCGTCACCGGCATCAACGTCGAGCAACACCCAGCAGCCGTCATACCCAAGTGTGACATCACAACAACAGTCGTCCTCATTGTTTGGGGACCCAGGATCGGCGAGCTCGATACCCAGGAACTACTACAGCAGCAGCAACTACCAGTATTCTGGAACGGGACAGTATCCAGGTCCGCAGTCTGGCGAAGTTCAGAGCGCATATTCCGATCTCCATCAGATTCCAGACGCCGCAAATTTGACAGCAACGCAGAGCCAGGGATACGGTCAAGGGTACATGCCATACGCCACCGAGCCGAGCGAGGTACCTGGCGCGTATGCGTACATTGGGGAGCAAAAGTTCTAGCAGGATCATGACGCCACGTCGCGCGGGCTGGACAGACGGGTTGCAGTAGGGCAGAGTTATGGATTTGGTATCTATGGGAATGTCGCTCATGCAATACCAAACCCCCTTCTGCCCACGACTGGATCAATGGAACCACGTTCGAATACCGGCGGAAACGAACAAAGCGACTCTGAGAGTGATTGAAGTCAGAGACCTAGCTCAGTGGACAACGCCATCGAAACTTGATTTCCTTCTACCGGCCAGTGGGTAGCAGTGGCAATACCTTCGAGTGAAACACGGTACCCAAGAGTTTGGAGATTGAAGCAGCACAGAGGAGTGCGAAGAGTTGGAACGAGATCTTGTCAACGCGCAGCCGAACCGTACCAGCACTGCAAAGAATGCGTAGGAGGACAACAACAACAACAACAACAACAACAACAACAACAACAACAACAACAACAACAACAACAACAACAACAACAACAACAACAA